ACAGAGCAGAGGTGCTGACGGCCAAGCCCACAGGGTAGCCATGGCGGTGAGGACGGAAGGCTGTTTACTCTCCTTTCTAACTGCTTGAAGTCCGGCAGAAACGTAAAGAGGAGGCCACTGACCCTAAATAGGTCGCCCTTGCTGCTTGTGGGCAAGATGTGTGCAGGCCAGACGGGAACCGTAGAAGGGAGCGGTGACGGGAGGGGCTTGAGGTGCTCGTCCCCCTGTCCAGCCTGCCCCTGCGCTTCTGGGTGAACGTGATCAAGAACCCACAGTTCGTGTTCGACATCCACAAGAACAGCATCACGGACGCCTGCCTGTCCGTGGTGGCCCAGACCTTCATGGACTCCTGCTCCACCTCTGAACATCGCCTGGGCAAGGACTCGCCATCCAACAAGCTGCTCTATGCCAAGGACATCCCCAACTACAAGAGCTGGGTGGAGAGGTGGGTCGGGGGGGGGCGGGGCCAGGCAGCCCGAGGACACCGCTGCCCCTCCTGGGCTGGCTCAGCTTCGGGGAAAGGCGCCCAGAGACCCACCTGACAGCCGGGGCAGCGGTGTTGGTGGCACCTGCCTGCATGACCTACTCAGGGGCCCGACAGGTACTACCGGGACATTGCGAAGATGGCGTCCATCAGCGACCAGGACATGGACGCCTACCTGGTGGAGCAGTCCCGTCTCCACGCCAGCGACTTCAACATCTTAAGCGCGCTCAGTGAGCTCTATTTCTATGTCACCAAGTACCGGCAAGAGGTGGGTGCCAGCCTCACGGGCCCCCAGGTGTTAGGCCCCGACGGTGCACCCAGTGGCAAAGGCAGGGGCCCCCATGCAGGTGAAGGGCACTAGAGGGTGGTGGAGGGGAAAGAGGGGGCATGGAGCCCATCTCTTAGATCGTTCCCAGTGCCTCCCCCAGTCAGCCCCCAGGCTGGCACAGGTGACGCCAGAGAACAAAACTCTACTCGGGCAAAATTAAAGGTCCAGGAAGGGATGGGCTGAGGGGCTGGGGCGGGGCCCAAAGGTACGCAGGGCCCATGGGGTTTGTGACCCCACAGTTCAGCAGGTAGGCAATATAGGGGTGTGGGTCTGAGGACATATTATTGCTGGAAATAAGGACCTGTCAGCCAGGACGTGGCCCAGAGAGCCCTGAGCCTGCACGAGCTCACCAAGGGCGGCCGAGAGCCATGTAGAGGGACAAGCGGCCCACACACCGAGCTCTGGGGTCCTGGGACACTCCGAGGTGGCAGAGAAGAGAGGGAACTGGCCCCAGAAGACTGAGGAGGGGTGGGAGGGGCCCCCAAGCCTGCAGGGTGGCCTCCTGGAACAAGACACACACAGACACACATACCTGGGGCAGGAAGGGTGTGGTCAGGAGGGAGAATGGAGTGATTGGCTCCCAGGGGTGCTGCTGATGGTCCAGGGCAATGAGGCCCTAGAAGGTCCCTGTGTTTGGCAAGGAGATCCTGAAGACCTGCAAAGACAGGGTCAGGTGTGGGGAGGGGTCAGGAGAGGACAGGGAAGTCCGGTGGTGGGTGGGGTCAGGAGGGGACTAGCGTTTGGGGACGGCAGGTGCAGTAGGCTGCAGTCTGACTGTGGAGCAGAGAAGGGGGGGGACTTTGGGGTCACAGAGAAGCCAGAGCGTGTGCAGAGGCGGGGGCTGCAGCCCCTCCCGAGGGCCCGGGGGCCGCAGGGGCACATGCGGAGGCGGGGGCTGCAGCCCCTCCCGGGGGCCCGGGGGCCGCAGGGTCACATGCGGAGGCGGGGGCTGCAGCCCCTCCCGGGGGCCCGGGGTCTGCAGGGGCACATGCGGAGGCCGGGGCTTCAGCCCCGCCCGGGGGCCCGGGGGCCCGGGGGCCCGGGGCCGCAGGGGCACATGCAGAGGCGGGGTCTGCAGACCCTCCCGGGGGCCCGGGGTCTGCAGGGGCACATGCAGAGGCGGGGGCTGCAGCCCCTCCCGGGGGCCCGGGG